GGAAAAAAAAAACATTGGTTGGGTATTTGGAGCCACCGGAGACAGCGGCGTGATCTGACTCCCATGGCGACAATTATGAAAATGGAAAAGGTGGGACGTGACAGAAAGTAATGGAGAGGGATGCGTATGTGTGAGTCCCCCAACTGTTGTGTCTCTTCTTGCGGAATTTATGTGTGACTGTTATGAAAAATAACATCATTCCAACTGTTCCCTCTCCTTGCAAGTCACAGTCATGATTAATTTAACAAGCAGGAAAATCCCAATGTTCTCATCGTCTCTCCTCCTCCTTTGCTTTTGACATTTGGCTAATCATGAGGGACGGTTCTCCTATCAAACAATGAAATAATGGAGAAAAATAACCATCAGATTTATCTATTATTATTTGCAACACAGAGAATCAACTCCAACAATGAAATGCTGTTTACACACTTAATAATTATCCACAGACATGATTTAGAACACTATAGAATTTTTACGCAATTAAGACCTATTTAAACTTTGGTTCCACGGTGTCATAAAATGATCAAATCTCCATTTTCTCTCAATTATTCGAAAGCTGCAGAACATACCATAACATCTAAATGGGCCTTGTGGTGCCAATCTACAACTCTCCTGTTAATGCACATGGAATTTGTATGTTTGGACAAATGCGTTCATTCATTCATTGCCGCATGTGCCCGCTGTGATGAATTTTATGGTCCATGTGTGTCTCCCTCACCCAACGGGACACACACACACACATTAACACACACCGTCCAATAGAGGGAAGTAGGGCCTGGCAGAGGGGACAACTCACCTTAATTAAGATTTAAAGCACGAAGGATCAACTCTGCTGAGTGTTCTGAACCTGAGGCCCCCGTTTAGCCGTCGGATGTTAAATTGTCTTTAAATAGCGATGCAGTGTCAGTATGTTACTCTCAAACACAAATACACACGTGTATACCTCACATGTATGACATTTAGCCGAGGCTTTCCATGCCACATCTCCCTCCCTCTCCCTCCCTCCCTCTCCCTCTCTCTCCCTCCCTCTCCCTCTCTATAAAGGAGCAATCCTGCAGTCCATCTGACCGCCTTTGCCCACCCTCAAGATTTTGATCTGTGACGTATTTACTGACGGGGACGTGCGAGTTTTCTCACCGATGCTTCATCTGCTCGCGAGGGCGACTATTTGGGGGAGACAAACTGCGCCTCGCTAGTCGGGCTCTCTCACGCGGTGTGACCCTCCCTCCTC